AAATTTCCTTGCAACCACTCAACCCAAAGTCCTCCGACATCGGAAAGTCCTTTCTTTTGATCCCCTCCCGGCACCTGTCGAGCTTCCAGAGATGTTGCCGAACCCAGGGTATGCACAGGTTAAGTACAGTGTTGTACCTCAAGCAAGAGAAGCGATCGAGTTGAAGGAGTCCGAGAGGACCAGTAGTGAGCTTCAATTCAGATGGCATGCGTACAGTCTCAGTATCCTCATCAATCTTCCACCTGCCATCTCTAGCATGTTCCCTGCAGTGATGTGCAGCAAACGAGCCATTGATAAAGATGTTGTTCGTATCCTTGATGATCGAATCAACCCAATATCAATGAGCAAAGTTGCCTGCATCCTACAAAAGGGTCATGATGTGTGGTATGCCGATAGGAGGGAACTGTACCGAACTGTCCTCTGCAATGCACATACATCCACTTCTTCTACGGGGCAGGGAGGTATCCTACTGTTCGTGAAAGCTGAAGGGAGCTACACCCCACCCATCCCCCAGACTCCTCTGCAATGTGCCCCGGTTTTTCACCGTGCCAAGCTCATCTTGGAGATCAAGAAAATGCCGGTCTACAGGTCCTCCATTCTGGCATAACAGGAGAAATCTTGTGCATAGACGGCACAAAACAGGTATTTTGTTTTTGTATTATTTAAAAAAGTGACCCCTATCACTTCCTCTCTTTGAAATGTAAAATAAGATACAAGAGTGAATAACTACAGACAGAGCACTAAATCACTGAAAATAATAACAATAAATATATTGAATGTATATCAATGTCCCGAAGAAAAAAAGAAATGCAAGTCTTGCATGATTTAAATCAAACATGTGCCCTATAACAAAAATAAAACAATATCTTTTCTCTCCCTCAGATCCTGAAGAAAGTGTACTGAAATGGCCAGGGGACAATGCAGTTTCTGACGAGTGTACTCAACGTGTGGGGCCAGTTTCTGACCACCATTGCGACTGCATCAGAGTTTGAGAAGGCCTACACCAGGGTGGCCGCGGCTTGATTTGTCAATTTAAGAGTGCAAATGCTCCTGTGCCCAAAATCTTGTACACAGACAAAATTAATATATTTTCTCTCTCACTATTTTTTCTCTCAGATCCTGAAGAAAGTGTACTGAGATGGCCCAGGGACAACGCAGTTTCTGACTAGTGTACTCAATGAGTGGGGCCAGTCTCTGACCACCATTGTGACTGCCTCGGAGTCTGAGGGAAGTCTACACATAAACAATGCCTTTTAAAATGCTAAAATATGTTGATTTTTTAAAAGTTACTACACCACCTGAAGTATTTATGCTTTACTATTCTCTGTGTATACTTTTACTTCACACAGACCGCCTGTTTCCCTTTTGTTGTGTACTTAACTACATGTATGTTTTGTACCTAACTATATACATTGAATTTATTCCTGGAGACCAGCCCTTGATAGGTCAATGGCCTCTGTTGGCTCCACCACATTATCAAGTATTAATTCTAGGTGCTCTAAATTCTTTAAATATTGTTTTGCTATTTTCTTGTTTTGTTTTGTTGTGTTGTGTTATTCAGATATTTTATGTAAATTGTTATGTTTTTTATGAAAAGTGGAAATAAATGAAATGGAATGAAAAAGTTCCTGTACAAAGACAACTGTTGTAGGCGAGTTCAATTTCTAAATTACTAAATTAATATGAAATATACACTACAGATATTTGTATTGAAAGTAGGTTTTGAATTGCAAAAGATTTTGTGTGTGTGTGTTTTGTGTTTGAGGGATGGTGGCACCTCTTGGTTGGAATCTCTGTTTCAGGAGTGGACGGACGGGGGAATGGTCTTGCGACTTGACGTATGGCATTGGTTGCATCGCTGGGACGCGGTCGTCATTAAGCAGACACACATGTCTGCTTAAGTATGGGTCATTCCTCAGTGCACCTGCTAGCGTTATTCTCGCTTACAACCACGACGATCTAACAGCGCTGATCAACGCCTTGAGGAAGGATGACCCCCTCTTTGCCCGCAAGACAGACGCTGAAATGATGAGCCACATCAAATCCCACCAACTCAAGAGCTATGTATGACGCGTGACCCGTGGTGTCAAGGTGAGTTTCCTTATAAATGAATGTTAGAAAGTGGGTATACATATTAATATTTCTTTCTCTCATTTTATTTTTTCAGGTATCACTCATTGCTTTTCCAGTGCAGTGAAACAAGCGAATGGAGGCTCGGAAGATGATAATGAATGTGAGGAAGACTACAGGTGTATGTTGCTATAAAGAGATGAAAGTGCATGCAACATTTCTATGGATAAGGCTAAATATTGAGGAAATCTCTAAACAAAGCAAGGTCTGTAAAAGGAGAAAAGATGCTAGTATGGATGTACTAGATAAAAACCCTCATCAATCGGACAATGTAAGAAACAAATGGCTAAATATTATATTTAAAAAAAATATCAATTGAAGTCCAATGAGGCCAGACTCCAAAAAATGCCGACTTAAACAACTATGATTTAAGGTCAGGTTAAAAGTGTCATGGAGTCTATTCCAGTGGAATGAATAGCATTGGATAATTAGGGAATGGAAAATCAAAATCCACCTAAAAATACATTTTCATTTGTTTATGCCACATTGTCACTTAATACTTTCACAGTGTAAAGACAATTTCAATGTAACTGTCCATAGCATTTCAAATGTAAATTTTTTTTCTTTCTTTCTATAATTTACTGTTTTTAATATATTCAATTGAATTGTATGATTATACTTATGACATTACTTGCAGGGCCTCTTGGAAGACCCACTTATTTAGAATGGGCTGCCCTCTTAATAAATATACACATGATGCAATGCCAAGTAGAATCAAGATGATGCCACTCTCCTCCAAAAAGACTGAGACAGGATAGTGGAATGGTCACATAAATGGCAGCTCAATGAAGAAAAGTGTAAGGTGATGCATTTTGGCAAGTAAAACAAGAACTTCACTCATACAATGAAATGTGCCAATGATAGAAAACATGTATCAACAACAGATGTCTCTGCCAATGAAAAGGATCTTGGAGTGATCTTCGATTCCAAACTATTATTTAGTAAACATGTTTTGGACTTTACCAAACGAGCAAACATGAAAGTTGGGATTATTAAGAGGTCTTTTTTATCTTTGGGAACCAAACGATTATTTCAATTGTACAAGACCACAGTACTCCCCACTCTGGAATACTGCAACACTGTTTGGAAGCATAAGCTTTTAAAGATGAAGGTGATCTGGAGAAAGTCCAGCGAAGAGCTACTATGCTCATACCAGAGATTAAACATCTTAGTTAATACTTAGGCAAAAAGCTGACCAAATCCAACTATACAAGATCATGACTGGAAGAGAAGATGTAGAGAGAGATATTATTCTCTATGAACAAAGAAAGTAGGGCAAGAGGTCATAACTTCAAAGTTGAGAAGCCACATTGTAAGACACATTGTTAGGCAGAGGTCCCTTGCTGTTTGCTCTATTAACAACTGGACCGGGCTAACCCAAATGACCAGTTCAAGCTAGGCCATCTATTAACAGTTTTAAATCTGAACTTGAAAATAATTGGCATCATCATCCTGTCAAATATAACCCGTACAGTATTAACAAAAATAGTGCTGTGATTGTCAAGATGGGCTCATAAGCTGATGCTTCAAGCCTCAACAACCAAGTCAGAATGAGCAGGAGTTGAACCTTGGATTCAATTTTAAAGAGTACAAGATGACGCGCGAGGTCAAACAGGCAACAAAACAAGGAATATCTAGAATTGTATCAGTAGTCCACAAACCATGCAGCTACATGTAGGAAACCCCATTTGTAAAAAAAAAAAGAAGAGGATGACTCATTAACAATAAACCCTTAACATTTACACTAATTCCATTCAGTTTGAAAAGGTGAAGATTGAGATCTTATTTGATAGGAATATGTGTACACAAAACCTTCTCTTCATTTTCTTTTAAAGCTGTACCTTATTCTGTTTTGTATTAATTCATTTTAATATGTTATGTTATCCCGATTTATGTATTATATTCAAAACGAAATTGCATGTTTCTACCTGTAAAATATGTTTTTAAAGATGGAATTGAATAAACTGAACTGAAGTGAACAGTGCCCTTGAACTTTTTTTCTTTCACAACTTTGACAATATGAAGCCTTTGAACTATAGGCGGGGCCTTTGTACAAGTCATCTACCATGGTGTAATTTCTCTCATTTTGAAAAGATCAAGACTGATGCGATTACATGTATGCAGTAGATTGATCGAATTCTTTCATCACATGTAATCACATACCATATCTGCCATCATTTGAAAATGAGAATTAAGAATGGCTATAAGAATCAGAATTTTGAAAATCTGGGATATCTCGCATTTTGGGGTCCTAAAAATCTAGAAAAACAGGATATTCCGGATTATTCGGGAGGGTTGGCAGGTATGACATACATGTACATGTACATCCATGCACCCATGTATTATGCCCTATAAGTTCGACAGGAATCCATCAATAGGTTCTTGAGTTAACGTGATCACAAGCTGTTTTTGCATACGTAATAAGCCCTGTGACCTTTGACCAAATGACCCAAAAATCTAATCAATTCATTAGTTCTGCAAGATACATACTGGACCCAAGTTTGGCGGGAATCCATCAATCGGTTCTTGCGATAACGTGATCACAAGGGGACGTACAGACATACATGTACGGATGGATGGACGTACATATGGACAACCAAAATGCTAACAATAATAATAATAATAATCCGTTTTTTTTATATAGCGCTCAATACACCGACCTAACGATGTGCCTAAGCGCTCTACAGATATATTATTACCCCGGTCATCGAATTCAGGCTTACCCGCACACAATGTGTGCACATTTTCCACTCCCTGGGGAGCAGTCCAGCCAGTCGCCATTTTACAAGCGCACACTTGCTCGTCCAACCACATGAACGTTCGCATCCTACCGGGTACCCATTTAACACCTGGGTGGAGAGTAGCAAGTGCAGGTAAATATCTTGCCAAAGGATATTAGTGCCATGTCGGGATTTGAACCCTCGACATTCGCATCTACAGTCAAGCGCCTTAAACCACTCGACTGGCACTGTATAGCTTCTCTTCTGTATGCTTAGTTCATCATGTGCTAAGTGAGGCCACTATTCTTTGAAAATGTCTTGTTATAACGAAAAACACTCTGTGTGGCTTCTGACATGACCAACCCTTAGTAAAATCTTACCCTTAGTAAAATCTTACCCTTAGTAAAATCTTACACTTAGTAAAATCTTACCCTTAGTAAAATCTTACCCTTAGTAAAATCTTACCCCTAGTAAAATCTTACCCTTAGTAAAATCTTACCCTTAGTAAAATCTTCTCATGAAGTGCAGACATGGGTCTGACTTTTCTCATGTGAGGAAGATCACATGGTTTTCAAGATGGCTCTGCTCGGGAAACCTTGTCATATATCGGCAGTCATAAGGTTTCTGGCCAACGTGGGTAGTCAGTCCTGGCATGTCTGGAGAGATGACTCCTGTAAAAGAATGTCTTATTACAGCCATCCTTCTCTTGGTAACCTTCATCATGATTGGAAATATCATTTGGCTCGTCAGGTGATTGGCAAGCTCCAGACTTCATTTCGAATCTGTGAAGAAATTGACATAGATTCCCAATAAAAGATGGCAAAGACTTCCCCAAAAGGCAATTTCAAGAGCATTGTCAATCATCATTTTGAAATATTTGAAAATTACAGTGACGTATTTTGTTATCAGTGCCCTGTATATAGTTTAAAATAATGCTAACAATCAATCCTATGCTGGCACTGTATAGCTTCTCTTCTGTATGCTTCATCATATATGCTAAGTGAGGTCACTACCCAACATGACTGGCTAAGCACCTGCGTCCAGAAAAAGCGTAAGAGGGTGTCTTTTTCAGCTACACGGCATCGTCGCAGTTTTCCTCAAAAAGGGTTGTTTTTCAAGCACTGATTGCACAACAACAAAAAAGGGTATCCTTTTAGGTTCACAGGTTTCAACGTTTTCTTTAAAAAGGGTCATTTCAGAAAAGGTGGGATACGCCATTAGGGTCCATTTCAGAGGTTGATGGACACGGTGGATAGCACTTTTGTATGAAAGTGACCCCCTGGGGGTCACTATGTCTAGTTACAAAATCTTACCCCTAGTAAATTCTTACCCTTAGTAAAATCTTAACCTTAGTAAAATCTTACCCTTAGTAAAATCTTACCCCTAGTAAAATCTTACCCCTAGTAAAATCTTACCCCTAGTAAAATCTTACCCTCAGTAAAATCTTACCCCTAGTAAAATCTTACCCCTAGTAAAATCTTACCATTAGTAAAATCTTACCCTTAGTAAAATCTTACCCTTAGTAAAATCTTACCCCTAGTAAAATCTTACCCTTAGTAAAATCTTACCCTTAGTAAAATCTTACACTCAGTAAAATCTTACCCCTAGTAAAATCTTACCCTTAGTAAAATCTTACCCCTAGTAAAATCTTACCCCTAGTAAAATCTTACCATTAGTAAAATCTTACCCTTAGTAAAATCTTACCCTTAGTAAAATCTTACCCCTAGTAAAATCTTACCCTTAGTAAAATCTTACCCTTAGTAAAATCTTCTCATGAAGTGCAGACATGGGTCTGACTTTTCTCATGCGAGGACGATCACATGGTTTTCAAGATGGCTCTGCTCGGGAAACCTTGTCATATATCGGCAGTCATAAGTTTTCTGGCCAACGTGGGTAGTCAGTCCTGGCATGTGGGGAGAGATGACCCCTGTAAAAGAATGTCTTATTACAGCCATCCTTCTCTTGGTAACCTTCATCATGATTGGAAATATCATTTGGCTCGTCAGGTGATTGGCAAGCTCCAGACTTCATTTCGAATCTGTGAAGAAATTGACATAGATTCCCAATAAAAGATGGCAAAGACTTCCCCAAAAGGCAATTTCAAGAGCATTGTTAATCATCATTTTGAAATATTTGAAAATTACAGTGACATATTTTGTTATCAGTGCCCTGTATATAGTTTAAAATAATGCTAACAATCAATCCTATGCTGGCACTGTATAGCTTCTCTTCTGTATGCTTCATCATATATGCTAAGTGAGGTCACTACCCAACATGACTGGCTAAGCACCTGCGTCCAGAAAAAGCGTAGAAAGGTTGTCTTTTTCAGCTACACGGCATCGTCGCAGTTTTCCTCAAAAAGGGTTGTTTTTCACGCACTGATTGCACAAAAAAAAAAAGGGTATCTTTTTAGGTTCACAGGTTTCAACGTTTTCTTTAAAAAGGGTCATTTCAGAAAAGGTGGGATACGCCATTAGGGTCCATTTCAGAGGTTGATGGACACGGTGGATAGCACTTTTGTATGAAAGTGACCCCCTGGGGGTCACTATGTCTAGTTACAACAAGAACACTCAATGGCTTTTCCAGTTTGTGGCTTCTAACATGACCAACCCTTAGTAAAATCTTACCCTTAGTAAAATCTTACCCTTAGTAAAATCTTACCCCTAGTAAAATCTTACCCCTAGTAAAATCTTACCCTTAGTAAAATCTTACCCTTAGTAAAATCTTACCCCTAGTAAAATCTTACCCTTAGTAAAATCTTACCCCTAGTAAAATCTTACCCTTAGTAAAATCTTACCCTTAGTAAAATCTTACCCTTAGTAAAATCTTACCCTTAGTAAAATCTTCTCATGAAGTGCAGACATGGGTCTGACTTTTCTCATGCGAGGACGATCACATGGTTTTCAAGATGGCTCTGCTCGGGAAACCTTGTCATATATCGGCAGTCATAAGGTTTCTGGCCAACGTGGGTAGTCAGTCCTGGCATGTCGGGAGAGATGACCCCTGTAAAAGAATGTCTTATTACAGCCATCCTTCTCTTGGTAACCTTCATCATGATTGGAAATATCATTTGGCTCGTCAGGTGATTGGCAAGCTCCAGACTTCATTTCACATCTGTGAAGAAATTGACATAGATTCCCAATAAATTATGGCAAAGACTTCCCCAAAAGGCAATTTCAAGAGCATTGTCAATCATCATTTTGAAATGTTTGAAAATTACAGTGACGTATTTTGTTATCAGTGCCCTGTATATAGTTTAAAATAATGCTAACAATCAATCCTATGCTGGCACTGTATAGCTTCTCTTCTGTATGCTTCATCATATATGCTAAGTGAGGTCACTACCCAACATGACTGGCTAAGCACCTGCGTCCAGAAAAAGCGTAGAAAGGGTGTCTTTTTCAGCTACACGGCATCGTCGCAGTTTTCCTCAAAAAGGGTTGTTTTTCAAGCACTGATTGCACAAAAAAAAAAGGGTATCTTTTTAGGTTCACAGGTTTCAACGTTTTCTTTAAAAAGGGTCATTTCAGAAAAGGTGGGATACGCCATTAGGGTCCATTTCAGAGGTTGATGGACACGGTGGATAGCACTTTTGTATGAAAGTGACCCCCTGGGGGTCACTATGTCTAGTTACAAAATCTTACCCCTAGTAAAATCTTACCCTTAGTAAAATCTTACCCTTAGTAAAATCTTACCCTTAGTAAAATCTTACCCCTAGTAAAATCTTACCCCTAGTAAAATCTTACCCCTAGTAAAATCTTACCCTCAGTAAAATCTTACCCCTAGTAAAATCTTACCCTTAGTAAAATCTTACCCTTAGTAAAATCTTACCCTTAGTAAAATCTTACCCCTAGTAAAATCTTACCCTTAGTAAAATCTTACCCTTAGTAAAATCTTCTCATGAAGTGCAGACATGGGTCTGACTTTTCTCATGTGAGGACGATCACATGGTTTTCAAGATGGCTCTGCTCGGGAAACCTTGTCATATATCGGCAGTCATAAGGTTTCTGGCCAACGTGGGTAGTCAGTCCTGGCATGTCGGGAGAGATGACTCCTGTAAAAGAATGTCTTATTACAGCCATCCTTCTCTTGGTAACCTTCATCATGATTGGAAATATCATTTGGCTCGTCAGGTGATTGGCAAGCTCCAGACTTCATTTCGAATCTGTGAAGAAATTGACATAGATTCCCAATAAAAGATGGCAAAGACTTCCCCAAAAGGCAATTTCAAGAGCATTGTCAATCATCATTTTGAAATATTTGAAAATTACAGTGACGTATTTTGTTATCAGTGCCCTGTATATAGTTTAAAATAATGCTAACAATCAATCCTATGCTGGCACTGTATAGCTTCTCTTCTGTATGCTTCATCATATATGCTAAGTGAGGTCACTACCCAACATGACTGGCTAAGCACCTGCGTCCAGAAAAAGCGTAGAAAGGTTGTCTTTTTCAGCTACACGGCATCGTCGCAGTTTTCCTCAAAAAGGGTTGTTTTTCACGCACTGATTGCACAAAAAAAAAAAGGGTATCTTTTTAGGTTCACAGGTTTCAACGTTTTCTTTAAAAAGGGTCATTTCAGAAAAGGTGGGATACGCCATTAGGGTCCATTTCAGAGGTTGATGGACACGGTGGATAGCACTTTTGTATGAAAGTGACCCCCTGGGGGTCACTATGTCTAGTTACAACAAGAACACTCAATGGCTTTTCCAGTTTGTGGCTTCTAACATGACCAACCCTTAGTAAAATCTTACCCTTAGTAAAATCTTACCCTTAGTAAAATCTTACCCCTAGTAAAATCTTACCCCTAGTAAAATCTTACCCTTAGTAAAATCTTACCCTTAGTAAAATCTTACCCTTAGTAAAATCTTAGTAAAATCTTACCCTTAGTAAAATCTTACCCCTAGTAAAATCTTACCCTTAAGTAAAATCTTACCCTTAGTAAAGATCTTACCCTTAGATAAAATCTTACCATGAAGTTGTCAGACATGGGTCTGACTTTTCTCACTGCGATGGCTACGATCACATGGTTTTCAAGATGGCAGTCTGCTCGGGAAACCTTGTCATATATCGGCAGTAAAATCTTACCCTTAGGTAGTTCAAGATGGCTCTGCTCGGGAAACCTTGTCATGGCAGTCCTGTGGGTAGTCAAAGAGATGACCCTGTAAAAGAATGTCTTATTACAGCCATCCTTCTCTTGGTAACCTTCATCATGATTGGAAATATCATTTGGCTCGTCAGGTGATTGGCAAGCTCCAGACTTCATTTCACATCTGTGAAGAAATTGACATAGATTCCCAATAAATTATGGCAAAGACTTCCCCAAAAGGCAATTTCAAGAGCATTGTCAATCATCATTTTGAAATGTTTGAAAATTACAGTGACGTATTTTGTTATCAGTGCCCTGTATATAGTTTAAAATAATGCTAACAATCAATCCTATGCTGGCACTGTATAGCTTCTCTTCTGTATGCTTCATCATATATGCTAAGTGAGGTCACTACCCAACATGACTGGCTAAGCACCTGCGTCCAGAAAAAGCGTAGAAAGGGTGTCTTTTTCAGCTACACGGCATCGTCGCAGTTTTCCTCAAAAAGGGTTGTTTTTCAAGCACTGATTGCACAAAAAAAAAAGGGTATCTTTTTAGGTTCACAGGTTTCAACGTTTTCTTTAAAAAGGGTCATTTCAGAAAAGGTGGGATACGCCATTAGGGTCCATTTCAGAGGTTGATGGACACGGTGGATAGCACTTTTGTATGAAAGTGACCCCCTGGGGGTCACTATGTCTAGTTACAAAATCTTACCCCTAGTAAAATCTTACCCTTAGTAAAATCTTACCCTTAGTAAAATCTTACCCTTAGTAAAATCTTACCCCTAGTAAAATCTTACCCCTAGTAAAATCTTACCCCTAGTAAAATCTTACCCTCAGTAAAATCTTACCCCTAGTAAAATCTTACCCTTAGTAAAATCTTACCCTTAGTAAAATCTTACCCTTAGTAAAATCTTACCCCTAGTAAAATCTTACCCTTAGTAAAATCTTACCCTTAGTAAAATCTTCTCATGAAGTGCAGACATGGGTCTGACTTTTCTCATGTGAGGACGATCACATGGTTTTCAAGATGGCTCTGCTCGGGAAACCTTGTCATATATCGGCAGTCATAAGGTTTCTGGCCAACGTGGGTAGTCAGTCCTGGCATGTCGGGAGAGATGACTCCTGTAAAAGAATGTCTTATTACAGCCATCCTTCTCTTGGTAACCTTCATCATGATTGGAAATATCATTTGGCTCGTCAGGTGATTGGCAAGCTCCAGACTTCATTTCGAATCTGTGAAGAAATTGACATAGATTCCCAATAAAAGATGGCAAAGACTTCCCCAAAAGGCAATTTCAAGAGCATTGTCAATCATCATTTTGAAATATTTGAAAATTACAGTGACGTATTTTGTTATCAGTGCCCTGTATATAGTTTAAAATAATGCTAACAATCAATCCTATGCTGGCACTGTATAGCTTCTCTTCTGTATGCTTCATCATATATGCTAAGTGAGGTCACTACCCAACATGACTGGCTAAGCACCTGCGTCCAGAAAAAGCGTAGAAAGGGTGTCTTTTTCAGCTACACGGCATCGTCGCAGTTTTCCTCAAAAAGGGTTGTTTTTCAAGCACTGATTGCACAAAAAAAAAAGGGTATCTTTTTAGGTTCACAGGTTTCAACGTTTTCTTTAAAAAGGGTCATTTCAGAAAAGGTGGGATACGCCATTAGGGTCCATTTCAGAGGTTGATGGACACGGTGGATAGCACTTTTGTATGAAAGTGACCCCCTGGGGGTCACTATGTCTAGTTACAACAAGAACACTCAATGGCTTTTCCAGTGTGTGGCTTCTGACATGACCAACCCTTAGTAAAATCTTACCCTTAGTAAAATCTTACCCCTAGTAAAATCTTACCCCTAGTAAAATCTTACCCTTTGTAAAATCTTACCCTTAGTAAAATCTTACCCCTAGTAAAATCTTACCCTTAGTGAAATCTTACCCTTAGTAAAATCTTACCCTTAGTAAAATCTTACCCCTAGTAAAATCTTACCCTTAGTAAAATCTTACCCTTAGTAAAATCTTCTCATGAAGTGCAGACATGGGTCTGACTTTTCTCATGTGAGGACGATCACATGGTTTTCAAGATGGCTTTGCTCGGGGAAACCATATCATATATCGGCAGTCATAAGGTTTCTGGCCAAGGTGGGTAGTCCTTGCATGTCGGGAGAGATGACCCCTGTAAAAGAATGTCTTATTACAGCCATCCTTCTCTTGGTAACCTTCATCATGATTGGAAATATCATTTGGCTCGTCAGGTGATTGGCAAGCTCCAGACTTCATTTCGAATCTGTGAAGAAATTGACATAGAAAAGTCATAGATTCCCAATAAATTATGGCAAAGACTTCCCCAAAAGGCAATTTCAAGAGCATTGTCAATCATCATTTTGAAATGTTTGAAAATTACAATGAGGTACCGGTATTTTGTTATCAGTACCCTGCATATAGTTTTTAAAAATGCTAACAATCAATCCAATGCTGGCACTGTTACTTAAGAAGTTCCAATTAATTGTATGTTATGAAAATTCAATCAATCTCCTTCATTTAATAGTGACTTTATAAAAGTAAATAGTAAATAATTGCATTTACAAATACAAATACAGACTCTTTGTAAATTTGTATGTAACAGGGCCTAGATTAATTAATGTATTGAAGCCCTTCTGCACTAGTTGGCCAAGAGGGATTAAACCTTCCTGCATGGTCATTGACAGGTGGTTATCTCTTAAATCAGCTCTCAATTAACTTAACCCTTACTGTACTGGGCTATTTTGAGCACCTTACTGACTGGGGGAGGGGCCTATGATCTCGGCCGTTGAATGCCTGATGAACAGGAAAATTTGCATGTTTGTAGATATTTACATGTACATAAGGAACAAGATAGTATAATTTGTTTTTTTCCTAATATGCAAATTTTTGTTGTTAAAGCCTAATTAAGTACAGTATGCAAAATGCTAATTTTATGCATTTTACAGAAAACTCGACATATTTGTCTGTAGACTTGTGAAGAATCTTGAAAATGTATTGAATAAATGTTTCTTTCATCTCAAATCCATGAGGTTTCATAATTTTTATGATATTTGAAAATGCATAGGTTAATTTGAACCAGAACGTCAATGACGTAGAGCTCATCCGCATCTCGCAACAATATCGTAAATTTTATGTGGTACACTTTTGAACTGGTCAAAAAATAAAAATTTGATGCCCTGGAAGAGACATAATTTCATTTAGCTGTACAAGAACAAGATTAAATAGAAACTAAAGGAAATGTAATGAAAATTGGTTGAAAAATATATAGTTTTATGACAAGCAGGACTTGAACTTAGTAAGAGATAAATGTAAACATACTGACCATTTATTATGATAAGAAAAGGACAGAGGTATAAATAGTCAGTAAATTGTCAACAGAAAAATATGACAAAATAACAATTTTGTAAGGGACAAAAACAAGTAATTAATCAATGGAGCAAAATCACAAAATTCTGTGTAGAATTTTAGTAAACCAAATTTAGCTCTACCAGATAAAGCAAACCAAATCAAAATCGGTCAAGAAATGAGGGAGAAGAAGCAATTTTTGTTATTTTTGGAATCAATTTGCATAAATTACCATAATTAATCAATGGAGCAAAATCTCAAAATTCTGAGATGTTTAGTGTACCAAAGTTAGCTCTACCAGATAAAGCAAACCAAATCGAAATCGGTCGAGAAATGAAGGAGAAGAAGCATTTTTTGTGATTTCCCCTAGCCCTATCATATGAAACAATCAGAATCAAAATAGGTTGAAAAATAACGAAGAAGAAGCATTTTGAAAACTGTGGACGGACGGACGGACGCCACGCCATGGCATAAGCTCATCGGGCCCTTCAGGCTGGATGAGCTAAAAAGCGTAGGTTAATTTGCATTAGTTATGAATACGGAAATTAAGCATTTATGAATATCAAATCTGGAAATGTACAAGGAACTAGAATCATTACAAAAATTGTCAGACTCCACTTTTTGAATGTTGAAACTCATTATTATTCATATGAAACTTCTTTTCAAACACAAAATAGTTATTTAGATGTAATTAATAATAATTTATGCAAATTTGATGCAATTTTCAAATATTTATTTTCTTATGTATTTTATTGTTTTTTATTTCTTATTATATCTATTGTTTTGGAATACATCAAGTTACTTTGAGAAACATATAAAAGCAATTTGATATCAATTCATATCTCCCACTTGTATTCACATTTCTGCTTGTAATAATAATAATAATAATAACAGGCATTTCTATAGCGCCGTCTATCTAGATAATTCTATTGCGAGGCGCATTTATTATTACCCCGGCTTTAGCCTAGCTGCCGTACATGAATACATGTATATGTAATTATAGCACTTTTTGACGACATGCGCATACTAATTGTTATGTAACACCTTACAGATATGTCCGATTTCAACGAAAATGATATCAAAATGTGTGTAAGACTTCAGGAAAAAAAGTCCTGAAATGACAATTCAAAATTCCAAGCGGTAGCTAGGCAATCTCTGAAAATGTCGAGGGGGGGGGGGGGGCTCCTCCCCAGTACGGTAAGGGTTAAAAAAGAGGGAAAAGATACTAGATAGCCCCACATTATGAAGATAAATATCCAGGAAATGATATGTTTATGTTCCTCATTCAATGGTACTAAATGGATGGACATTAGAATGACGACATCAGCTGTTTCAAAACAAATTTTGGGGGTCAGATATTTTTGGTGTTAGAACACATGCCAAAAATGTACATCCTCCCCCCCCCCCCCCCCTCTATGGTTCAGGCTATATTGTTATGTAGTACTTGTATCACTCCCCCTCCCCAGGGCTCGAATTACCCACTGGCAATCGGCAATTTGCCGCCATGCCCCTCTCACTGGCCGGAATGCCCTTTTCAAAATCAAAACGTTTACGGCCACAATATTTTAATCCACAAAAGTTTTGCCGACATTATAGTCATCATAAGTCAACCCCGACTTGTAATGTGCCCCTATTGAGATCTAAAAACATTAATTATCGGCAAGGTTTTGTTTCACCTACGGAGATCAAAAAAAAAAAATTATCGGCAGGGTTTGTTGCCCGTACGGAGCTCTAAAAACAATAATCATCGGGAAGACTTTGTTGCCCCTACGGAGATCTAAAAACAATAATTATCGGCAAGACTTTGTTGCCCCCACAGAGCTCTAAAAACGATTATTATTGGCAAGGTTTTGTTGTCCCTACAGAGCTCTAAAAACAATAATTATCGACAAGGTTTTGTTGTCTCTACGGAGCTCTAAAAATGATAATAATCGGCAAGGTTTTGTTGCCCGTACAGAGCTCTAAAACAATAATAATCGGCAAGGTTTTGTTGCCAGTGTTTGATGCCCGTACGGAGCTCTAAAAACAATAATTATCGGCAAGACTTTGTTGCCCCTACGGAGATCTAAAAACAATAATTATCGGCATGCCTTTGCGGCCTCTACGGAGCTCTAAAAACAATAATTATCGGCAAGACTTTGTTGCCCCTACGAAGATCTAAAAACAATAATTATCGGCAAGACTTCATTGCCCCTATGGAGATCTAAAAACAATAATTATCGGCGAGACTTCATTGCCACTATGGAACTCCTAAATTAATAACTATTAGCGGGACTTCATTGCCGATACGGAAGCATATCTTCATCGAAATGACTGAAACGTTTGCCACAAAAACCGTAATGACTCAGACTTAGTTTTTTCAATCCATCTCCGTCCTTTTTATTAAGACCAATCAATATCGGGAAGTTTTGTATACCCATCGTTGGTTCAACATCTTCACTTCGCGTTGTGACCTTTTTTGGTGCGTTTTCAGAGTTTTTAATCAGTGAAAAACTTGGATTTTTCTCTGGAGGAGGGTCGGGAATCAAATCAGAAAAGGATTAAGAGTTGAGATAATGGTACATCGAATCGTCTTCTTTCCCATACGTTTTAATTAAAAGTGGGAATTGATTTCAGAAAAGGATTAATAGTCGAACGGTACAATGAATTGTCTTCTTTCTCTAATAATTCAATGAAACGTCAAAGGGGGAAACTCCCCCACTCCCTGCAGGCCTTCACCCACCCCACCCTCCACGCACCCCACTGCCGGATCCAGCCGGCGGCAGGGGAGGGGACCAAAGAGGGGGCCCAATTCGTGGGAGAATATAAGGGGGGGGGGGAGGGGGGGTAGTGAGAACTATTTTTTTTTTCTCCCGAAAATTTGAAAATCGCGCTGGCCGATAATTCACTCGGGGGGGGGGGGGGGGGGGGGGGGGGGGGGGGGGGAATGAGCATTTTTTTTTGGGGGGGGGGGGGTTGCAAATACCCCCATTATGAAAATGGCGTGAGGTGATTTTACTCTTACTTTCAACTTTGGCCTTAGTGCCCCTTAGGATAGATTTGTGCCCCTTTCAGTGGATTTGTGCCCTCTCAAAAAAGTGGCCTTGACCCAAATTGATGTAATTCGAGGCCTGCCTCCCTTCAGTCATTCACCTTTCATTCACCTTTGTCCCTCCTCCATGATAAAACAGAACCCCATTATCCCATTACATTTTATTATAAACAATTGACCATTAATGACCACCCCAGAGTTAGCTTCAAGGATCGAACCACATTCCAATAACTATGACTCATACTAGGCCCAAACCCCAGTCACTTGCACTCTCCATTGCCACTCCCCATACTACCATAGCAACCCTGACCATTGACCAGTCATAAGCACGTTTAACCCCCTGTTCACACACAACATTTTCTGTGATTAGGTGTGATTAGCTATACCATTTCGCGATAGTGATACCGTTTCGCGATAGTTTTACGATGAAAATTGTGTGTGTGGACGCTCACTAACGATACGTCGTATAACGAAACTAGTCTAATGAAACGCAGGTTTGGGCATCGTTTCGAACTGAAACTCAATAAAGAATCACGCCTAATCACGGAAACTGTTGTGTGTGGACAGGGGGAGTGTAACTAGTGTATCTAACTGGGCGGGGCTTAACGTGACCTCGAGCGAAAGGAGACCAGACCTCTCATTTTCGCTTCCATTTCATGACTGCAGTAGCAAACTGTGCACCTATACGACATTTCGCTGTAGAGTTTCAGGATTACTTTCTTCTGTGTGTGGACATCGTGGAATTTATACGATGATTCTTTATATGACGTTTCGTTATAGAGTTTCGGGATAAATTGTTTTGTGTGTGGACACGCTGTAAGTCACCCATCCCAACATTGTTTCTCTCCCCAAAACTTTCCATATTGTAAAGTTTGCTGGTCATAAGGACTTTGATTTCAGCCATCAACCGCTGAAGATAATTTACTACCGTCTACATGTAATCTCAACTACACATGTACATACAAAGTAATAGCATTGAGAGTTGCTGCACTTTGCCAAATAAATGTATCTCATTTCAACTGTATAAAGAACTTGTATTCAGCGGCTCAGCCTGCTAATTTATAAACTTCTCATCATTAAATAAGATCCCAACACGACAATATGTTGGGGTAAGGGTTGCTATTGGGGTTCAGCTGTGAGAATAGGATTAGGAACAGTGTTTGTCACAGGGTTCAAGTTATTAGGGACTTTTAGATTGAGTGGACGTAATAATTCAGTTAGTGTGCATTGAACAGGAAGCAATAGACCAGTTCATAGAAACAATCTGCGCAGATAAAGGTCACTTGTACAAATTGTAAAACCCATGAGACTATTACTGGATACATTCTAACGAAAGTTATGTAATCATTATTCATGCATGCACCCTTGAACAGTCGGATTATCCATGTTTTCAGGTTTCCTGGATTAAGATTAGCAACATTATTACATATTGCAAATAAATGCTGATTATATGATTATGCTAATTAGGTTATTACAAAAATTGCCCAAGGTTGCCAAGCTGAATTTACTTCAATACCCATCTAGAACGAGAATCAACAAAAAACCTTGTACTTGACAATTTTTCCAGGTCATGTACAGTACATGGTACTGGTATATGGTACCGTTTAAGTACTGGACTAAAACTATTTATTGCATTCAAGGCCACTACATTATACTAGAAGCTACATGTACCTTAGATCATTAGAGTAACATACATACATGTATTTATCATTACCTACCAGATGTTTATCTGTATCCTCCATTTCTGCTGGAGAATCCTCAAAAGAATCCTCCTCCATTTTTCTTTGACTTTCTGTTCTATGGTCATCTTGCTTCACGCCTACATGCAGTAAAAAAGGAAGGTGGGTAGATAACAAATTAACAATGTGCATTAATATTTGCAATTCTCCAACCATGCAATTCTACTGCGAGTTGCAATTGATTTATACTTGTTAACTTTTCACAAATAATAGTAACAATGTTGTTTTTAAAACTAAAGATGACAACAAGTTCAAACAAAAATTTGGACATTAATTGGCAGCTAGTTTGGTCCTAGTTTTTGAGTTGACAGTGACATCCTGTGTATGATTGACCTGGGATTGTCGTCTGCTAAAGCTTGGCAGATAATCAACCGAATCATAAATAATAGGCCTAAGCCTTCGTTTTACATGAGTTTTCGACACATTTTGTAACTATATTCTGACCAACATTATGCCATGATCTACATTAAATGCCCTTTCTTTGAAATGTGCAAATCAAATATAGGACTATTTGGGAAATGAATTTTGAGATGAAAATTGTCATTGTTTTATTCTTGAAAACAAAAATAATATTTACTTTGAATGCTTTCAACTTCGATTCTCATAATTTGAAATATTCATTTTGCCATCTGAAAAAAAGCAGTCATGTGCCTTATCATATTACCATCTTACCAGTATTGCCAAAAAATATTTTATGGAATAAAATGACACACAAATCCCAGGATAACCATTAAACAGCTAGACTGGTTTTTGGTTATTATATGAATAACTACAATGAATCTCTGGAAATGTGAGGAAAACAACGCCCTCTTATGTTGCCCAGTAAAAATCATCCAATCACCGATGGAAAATTGCCATGTAATCATCTTCATCAACAAAACCAATAATCCAAAGCCTTGAATCATAAATAATATAATGCAATAATATACATGTAGCTGTCTCATAATGCCTTTTTTTCTTTGTATCATAGATCTGCCAATGTTTGAATAACTCTTTGTGTTTCATATTCTACTTTCTAACTATGCATCTAAATCAGTTATGTAAATACAATGACGTCGTCAAGCAAGAATCCTGGCAAAAATATAGAACGGACGCGCGTACGCGTCCGTCTCCAGCTGTACGGGTATTTTGAGGGCCTTTTTTTCGATCTGAACACTAACTTAGGGTAAAGTTGAAATGATATCACTTTTTCTAGATTTTTTTCCACGTAACTTCATTATTTTTTTCATAGATGAGATGAATGGGTTAGGGCTGCGACGAGTAGTCGAATGCTCAAGTACTCGCATTGTTGACAACTTCTCGTACTCGAATATTCGGCCGCAAAAAAATAGTCCAGGACGACGCTTACCCGTGCCAGGGAGAGCGGCGGCCGCTTGCATGGTACCGTCGGTAAAAATGTTTCCCAACTCAAGCACTGTCAAACTCATCACTCAGAAACTGGGACCAAATGTCCGGATTTCTGTTTGGACTCGGAGGAAAATGGATTATTCTGTCATCTTTGGTTTTTAAAACAGCATTGTTTACTGTTAATATTATTATTAAATCGGCGCCTTCAACTTCAACTCGAAGTAAAATTGCATGCGTTTTCGGCGAACGGACCTGGGATACTACCCCAGTGGTGGCAAAAATTAAGAGGCACTAATTTTTTTAATTTTGGGGGCCAATTCATGAATTTTTGTTGTTGTTGCCAAATTCGTCAGGAAATATTTGTGGCGAAACAGCAAGCAATTGAAAAAGAGGGGGGGGGGTAGAAAAGGGGACCCATGTCTAAGGATCTTTCCTGAAAAAGTGACCCATCTGAGCAGCACATCACCGTATATCCACTCCAGCAAAGCATAGAGTCAATGCTAATGCGTATTAACCTCTAGCACTAGGGGCGATTCCACGGTAACGGAAGGAAACTCAGACAAGATTTTTGAACTTCAGGTTCATACTAAAAGAAATGTTTTATTAGTATGTATTAAACTATGGGGAACAAAATGTGTTTCAGTCAAGTGGAAAGCTTCATCAACTTCACAAAGTTTGGATAAACACTAATTAACTGGAAAAACCATGTCCATTTTTATGTCCTTCCGTTACCGAGATAATTAATATGCACATTCTTAAACTACTTAACTATAATGACAATTTTTTGGGGAGAATTAAAGGCACTTATATAGGTATTATATCTGTACTGTTTCACATCTTATACTAATGAAACAGTTCTTTTAGTATGAACCTGAAGTTCAAAAATCTTGTCTGAGTGTCCTTCCGTTACCGTGGAATTGCCCCTAGGCAGTACAGTTACGTAACAAAATGCGTTGACCGATCTCGCCACACACAGCGCCTTATGCACAACAAGTAAAACAATACAAGTTTAAGAAATACCACCATTTTCGTTCTGAACATCGCACATCCCTGATTTTTGGATATGTTTTCTAATGATATCTCTTTGTACTAGCTTGTAAATGACAGCTTCTAAAACCGCCCGGTTTTGTTGAAAATGTGAAAAATTCAGCACTCCGCAAAAGTCCAACTGATCAACTTTGCTTCCCACACACACTGACACAGAGCATAACATTTGTTCAAAAACTTTGGGATTGGGATTTCTAAATTGCGATTTTTATACTTAATTTTCGTAATATTCATCCAAGATTAAAACATATTCTTTTTCAATATTTAATTATAATATACCGAAAGAATCAGCTCTGTAGATTATCCCGTTTTTACGTTAGAGCAATAGTTTGAACCTCCATCATTTACATTTATGTGACAGTCAGCCATTTCGAAAAATGCGGCACAATAAAGTGTTCAATTATTCGGGGAATCCCAGAGTCGGATTTGGGTTACGGGGTGTTTAGGAAAGGATGCGGAGGCTCCTGATTGGTCAAATATATATCCAAGCTCATTTACATAAAATATAGATCTTTGGAAAACTTCGGAGTTTGTTGCATCAAAATCCATCAATGGGTTTAGATTCTGGAGCCATGTGAAGTTTTTACCGCCAATTTTTCACCTGAAGATTTCGTCCGATTAAAATGCAACATCGTATATAGGTCAGTTATTTCATCATTTATAACAATCAAAAGTAAAATCCCGAAATATATTTATAACAACGCCCGAATTTTAATAATAGTTTTGGGTGTCTGGATTGCCATTTTGCCCCAGCAAGACTCGTAATTTGTATTCGTGCGTATAAGCGAAAGTCCGCCTGAAACGGTCACATGTTCGTCTCGTGCTCGTCTCATGCGCATGCGCACAAGATGATGCACAGACGATGCACAAGTGCTCGCTGCTTCGTACTGCAATGATATGAAAAATATGTCCGTAAAATCGATATGACATGCGCTCGTGTCGATAAAATATGAAGCCTATTTCGAACGTTCCACATATGATTCTACGGATTATATAATGTTTTACGCAACTTTCTTCTTTTTTATTCTTTAAAGCCGATATTTCTCCGTGATACCCACGTCCCGATGTGTAACAAAAGTCAGTCCCATACGTAGCATTTGATGCTGCAATTGACTGCAGATAATTGATTTCATTTCTTTATTAATTATGCTAATAAGGCATAATTAAGTAAGTATCATTCTTTTTAGAGATTGTTCTTAACCTTATTGAAATACATTACATACTAGCTCAATAATAATGTGTGTGCTAAATTTCGGGTTAATTGGATGCAGCTTTTTGCTTCATTTTCATTGTTTTTCTTGGTATTAAAATGGCCTCTTTGTTAATTAAAATATGTTAATTAAAAAAAACTATATTATATACATTTATTTAAGTATCATAAAATTGCCACATCTTGAATGTGTTTATGCTCAGTTATATTTTTCAGGTGAATTGGTTGCAACAGCCAACTTATAATCATATGCTTAGAAAAGGCAATTTTCTTGTTAATATGTAAATTAATATGCTAATTAGGCACAAGGTAATTATCTGAGATATATAAAATTGTTATGGTTAAAATGCTTGTGTGCTTATAAGTAGGTGTGCTAAATTTCAGGTGAATCAGTTGGAGCATTCTAACTTAAATGATGTTTATATATTCTAAAAAGCATTCTAATTTTAATGTTATAATTAATATGCTAATTACGCGATGGATTAATATGATGACATAAATGGTACCCTGGGGTACCAAAAAAAATTCGGCCATTTTGTTGAATTTTTTTTTTTTTTTTTTAAGGCTGTACCCTGGGTTACCAAAAAGTGGGAAATTATTTTTGTGTGATTTTTTCAACCTTCAATTGTGTCCAATGTTCTTGTAAAAAATCCTTTAAGTCCTGTATTTCTAAAATTCATTGTTGTTATGAGTAATTATTCTATTATTGATATCATTTCATGCTGTTATGATACACCCTGTATTATTATTGTGGTATAATTAAAATTATTAATTATAAATGAAAGTTCTATTTTTTTTTTTTTTTTTTTCCAAAATAACACCATCAGCCTGCTCCTTGTCTCCCCCGTCACTCGCCCTCCTAAACACCGCTACCACATCAGCGGCCTTCTCCTCCCCCAACTTCTCTACAGCACGAGATCGAGCTCTTTCAACTTTCTCGGCCCTTGTAATCTTCCGTCTTTTACGTCCTTTCCCTTTCAGTAAATCCCCGTATCCACCATCACCTTCCACCCATGGCATTTTCAAAGTTTGAAAGTTTGACAGTAACGCGCGCGTTAACTATGTCGATGATGCGATGTTTGTTTGTTGTTTTTTTTTCGAAAGAGTATACAGGTACGGTACGTACGTGCAATAACATCAAGTTCTAAAATAGCCGCGGGTCGGGACCGGACGCCGGAGCTAGCTAGCACTATAGTGTGCGATAGCCACCGTAGTGCGCTTGTGATCGTGAGCGAGCGCTATAGCGCGAGCAGTGCATGCATGCACACCATGCATAGTAAACACCATAGAGATACCACGGAACTATGTACACGCACTCCATACATTGTACTCGAGTGGACGCGAGATGGCGCTACACAACGCGGTACCCCGGGGTAACGCGTGGTGCATCATATACAAGAATCGTTAAACCGTTATAGCTTAACTATTTGTGTGCTAATTAGTTTATGTTGTAAATTTGAAGTCTATCGGACGAGG